GCGATATTCCTCTCCGATAAACCGCCAATTCCATCCCACGAAATCGCCGGGGTAAAACCCACAGGTATAGTGACGCGCATTGTGTATAATGGCGATCGACTGTCAAGATCTGTGGATAAAAAACTTTATCTTGACTTGCCCCTGGCGTTGCTGGAAAATTTCCCCTCTCTTTACGCGTTTCAATGGGCCGTGGGGGCCGGGGACGTATCTGGACCGTAATACGAACGACAATGCCCGTGCACTCTGCGGCCTGATACAGGCTCCGCTGAGAGAGGTATTCCGTGAAATAAAGGGATAGAGATCGGAAAGAATAGACACGCTTGTAAAGGAGTGTATAGGGCGGACTATCATGCCTCCTCGTCCGCCTACTAGATCTAGCCTGGAGTGCAGTTGCGTCAGATAATACTTTTTGCAACTCCTCCTGTGATATTATACAGGTCTCTCGATCTCATACGTCAGCCCCAGCCGGAACTTTCAATTTTTGTTTCGTGTCTTTTTTCCCTGGTGGTCGAAATCGATGCTGTGAACTCGACGAGGTGGGATTTTGCAACAGCTGTTTATAAGCAACAGTTTCACTTACAGTAGGCGATATGGATTCGTTTTCGCGAGACAAAAGGCCAAGATTGACTCCACACAAAAATAGTTGTACTGTATATGTCTCACCAATGTCTGTACTGTATATGTCTCACCAATGTCTGAAATACATGCTCTGTGGATTAACGAATTCAGATTCATGCAACAAGTCTGTCCTGGTCTCAGAATATTAAAGGTCTTCGCACTTCATCCATCTTACTATATGACTTCTTCCATGCTAACTGATGCTCTGCATCGCCATTAATTAATTTCGTCTGGGTCTCTACCACTATGTTTTCAGATCTTGTTTTTTAAACGTAAAAACTAACCAATACTGAGTCAAGTAAACATTTTTGGCTTCCACGGTAGTTCGCTGTGTGTGAACTGCAAGACTATAACTTCAAACTAACATCAATCCCCCCCCCTCTCTCTCTCTCTCTTCTTCTTCTTCTTCTTACATTTCACTCTGTTAACGGCCACTCTGATTCGGTCTTCGAATATCGCTTACAAGTTATAATGTAACCGCTCTCAGGCTGAAAAGAATAATACGATGGCCTAAACTTAACAGTTAATTATGTCTCTTTCCACACTGGCACGTGCCTGCTATACGCCCACGCACAACCTACGACACCCTTGCAGTATATCAGTTTGTTGCCTCGGTCGTCGTCTCGTATGCGGGAATTAGCCATATAATACTCTGGATGTTTTATAGGAAACTTCTGTGATGTATGCAGGATGAATAAGATCTAATCTAGAAGTAGAAGTTTTCCCTTTGGAAAAAAGAGAAAGTTATTTAAATACACATCATACTTTGAATTTGGATTACAAAACAGTGGAGCAAATTGAAACAAATCCGAATCTGCAAACTTCATCAAATTTTGAAATTAAATTATCAAGATTTAAATCTTCAATTTCAATACTGTGACTACACAAGGATATCAATATTCCTCCAAAATGGTCCACCAAAGGCCTACGTAAGTGGAACCGTGAATATAGGCATGAGACAGTAAACCGATCTTGCTAACCATGGAGTATAAACAAACAGTGCGTCGATATAAAGGAAACTATTTGGGAACACACATTACTTTTAAGAAACCGTCAGAACTCTGCCATCGAACTATCATGCTTTGAATTACCCGTTCCCGGTTTAATTTTCATCATTAATTACATTTATCACATTACAAGAACACCATCCAGCCACAGGGAGCCTTGAATATTTTCAGAATTAACCAGAGTGACCGGCTATGCCGACCTATAAGCGAAACAATGACATTTCGAATGATTGCATTATGGATGATTTGTCTAATCACAATGCCGTACATTACACGTACGTCACACCATGAAGCTCCTAGGGAATTAACAGGCATATGTAAAACATCTTAACGAGTTTGTCGTTTACTCAAGTCGATGGGCTTCAATGATTCTATCAGCATAATAATTAAATGTTAATTGGAAACAAGGAAACATTTAATGTCCATTGGCCGATGATGGACAATTTCAGGCCAACGTAGTGCATAATTATGTAATAGTGTAGAGTAATGTTTGTACTGTACATGTATAGGCCTATGTATGTTGTTGCGACTATCTCATTCAAACTGAGCGCTTGAATGAAGGCAAGGCACCCTTTGGGAATGAATAAGGTCATCGCATCCTGACGTCACTGAGTCCCACGCGAGTTCACTTTAGTGCAGTTGCCCCCGGCGACTGTAGGCTGGCACAGCACACGTGCCAGCCACGCGCCCGATTGAACACCGTGCTGTGCACACACAAACACAAGGTTCACGCTGGATGGATGGGCCACTACACCGCAGAGAAATGCACAACAAATCAAGTACGAAAACTGGAGACGCGCGTGTGTGTAGTCCGTGGGCTTCATCGAGCTAGCTTGGTTGGCCGGCTATAGGCTGACCCGCAGATGCCCCCACTATGCCCTCCGGGTGCCTCTCTTCATCAGCCGCCGAGCGCGCGCTGGAAATAAACCCGGGACTTTAGATTTGTGTTTTGTTTCTCCGAACGATTTCGAGGATTTCCTCGAAATCGGACGGGGAGTGAGTTAAACGGCGAGAATTGCTCATGATTCGAGGATGAGTGCATTCCGTCTCAAGGTTGGCAGAGCCTCGCTCGCACGAACACCTTGCGCACGCGATACCGTAGGATATAACTGTGACACACCGCCTGGCTCAGAATTAATATGATTGAATCTCCGGCTCCAAGATTGAGATTCATTCCTGGAAAGTCGGAAGCCATGGTGGATGAATAATAAGAGTTCAATGTCAGGCTATGGGCTACGCCAACAAAAGAGGGTGCGTTAATTTTTACCACTTTTGAAAGCCCCGTGGACGGGCACGCGCGATGTACGTGCGCGAAATACGCACGACTTCCTGAACTGTGCCAAAGCAATCTCCCAGACTAATCCCCGCCCCAATAACTTTGGATCATTCGGAATACGCAGTGGACGGACCGGGAACCAGTTTAGGTCTCCCCCAACTCTCCTTTTCTGCCCGGTGAAGGGGTACATGTGCACGGGAGCCCATAGAAGAATGGTCTGACCCCACACCCTCTGCTTGAGTTGACACTGGTGGGACGTTACCCAATAGGAAATGGCTTCCCAATTTGGTGGACGACATCTGGCACGCGCGGCGTGGCTCGCGCCTGTGGTGTGCGCATGTACTGTTTGAGCTGGGATCGTGACGTCACGCATGATTAAAGTGAATTTCCACCCGTCCATACAATCACATTAATGTTTATCTTTGTTTATGGGGCTATCATTAAATGTTGAGTTCATTGTGTTGCACACATGGTGAGATCAAAACTCCTCTTCTTCCCCTGAAATGACATGCACAGAGATGGTATACTTTTCCCACATTACCACAAAAAAAAGGTTTACAAATTTGTCACTATATGAAAACCGGGAATGACACATAATTTTTGCAGGGTGCTCACATTTGGTGCTCACAGCCTTGCAAGTCCTAAATCGCAACATTCTGAGCTCCAATCTCGTTGAGATGACGTCCCAGGTGCCTGTTTGTAAATTGAAACTTCAAAACTATTTGTGTTCGCGACATGTATGCGAGTTGTAACAACGTGTAGTTGATTTAAGCAAACTTGGCTGGGACTGTTTATTGTTTTCTTTTGGGGGATAGCCGAATTCATCACATCCTTCCCAGTTTTGTTGCTTACTGTCTTGTAACCGTGGTGATTTTATTTGCATGAACGCCTGATAGTATTGGTGATTTTTTTTTAAATCAAAGTTTAACACACTACCATAAAACAATGCCCATGTCTTTAATGATGGGGTCCAATGTGCATCCTAATTTTCCAGTGGAGTCATAAATTTCCAAACTACAAATAACAAACTATTGTCAGAGATTGTATTAGGCCTAACTTTGGCGAAGCACGAAGATAATTTTCCAAAGTCCATTGCTTTAAGAGGCAGGCAAATTCGAAGGGAATAAGCCGATTGTGGGAGTATAAACAGCCATTCGTCCGTACTTAATAGTACAGTACATAAAAAAAGTAAATCAGTACTAATATAATCCGTTATTGTTACGAATTGAGTTCCTCAATATATTTTCACAATTTCTTCTGTACTCAAATAATTTGCTGAATTACTCTCTAAATAAATATATAGTGTATTTCCCACTTGGATCAAAAGTTATGCACAACTGGATACAATAATCTTGAGGTATTGCCATACCAAGCACAGCGAAACACATCATGATTCAGCAAAGGAAATACGAGGATATGTACAGGGTGGATCATAAAAAACAAAACCGAGATATTATTGCTAATTAGACAGAAGTAGGGCACATGTGAATCAAAGGGAGATATCCTCTATTAGGGTTGAATCTCCTCTTTAAAAAAAATGACATCCTGATCATGTCCTTACATTCACGGTTGACTGAGCAGTGACCAATTTTATGAAAGGGTCCATTCTACAGAGAATTTCGCCACTTTTCATTGTGAAATCTCTCTTTTTTTCCACCTGCCTTGATTGGCAACCATAGCCTTTCACTCTGTGACATAAATGACACCCCAAAAACCATAATTGAAAAGTGGCGCAATTCTCTAAATAGACCCTTTCATAAAATTGGTCACTGCTCAGTCAACCGTGAATGTAATGACATGATCAGGGTATCACTTTAAAGACTGAGGAGATTTAACCCTTACAGAGGATATCTCCCTTTGATTCACATGTGCCTTACTTATGTTCCAATTAGCAATAATATCTCGGTTTCGGTTGTTTTTTATCCAACCTGTATAGCAGACATCCAATGAAAAAGAAAAGAAAGAAAGGTGTTGATGGACTTTGGATGAATTGGCCAAACCAGTTGGTAGTTCGTACAATGCCCGTATGAAACAAATCACTATTAATTGGGTACATGTATAGCGAGTGAACCATTTTATGTAAATTTTAAAGGGAACTCATTCAAATAATAGCTGCATGACGGTACATTCAAGGGTTAAACAGAACCCTTATGAACTGTATGTTCATTGAGGTAATTAGATAAAATATGCACAGCCCGATATCCAGTATATTTGCTGTGTTAGTATTCATACTGCACGGTATAAATACGGGTGCACACAGTGCTTGCAACGTAGGGCGAAGCTCGCACCGCATTTTGTAAAAAAGCAATTAACAGGACATTATGAGGGCATCAGTAGACATGTGGGCTCCGGTGACCATGAACTCTTTGGAACTTGGTGACATTTTGTCAGTACAGGCGCTCCATAACCTCCGTCGAATTTCCAGATCGGGTGCTTTTCGCGGTTGCCCTGGAATTAATCAGCGAGCACACGCGTAGACACAAAAAGAAAAATGAAAACCGCATCGTTAGCGTCTTTGTGCTGAGGTTTTAAAAGTTTAACAGTCAGTTTTATGGTTTGCCCCTGTCACTTGCGGTATTAAAATGTAACAACGGAGAAGCTTGCTAGCGAGCGGAGCCACCTGCCTGGCTCCATCGGGCCAGGGCTCGCGTTCGCCCCGTCAGCTTGGTCTTCTTGGTGTGGCGGATGTCGAGGACTTTGCGGTCTCCAAGTCCACCACCGCAAGAACCAAAAAAGTTGACCAATTAGTGCAATTTATGGCTGTTCCCTTTGTGGGTAAGAATTACGAACTTAAGACAGATTACCTATACAGAGTTGGCCCACAGCCATATTATGCATAATTTATTCATTTCTCTCAGTGCTTCTTGGATTTTGGTTTGTCTGGAGTGTATGGCATTGTTTTGTTTTGCCGCATAATGATGTGAAATCAACTCCTTGGTTTGTTTTTAATCTTCAATCGACCGACGATAGATGGGCGATTATTTAACAGTTTTATCCACACGGTAGAGATTTCCTTTTCTGCATGCATACAGGCTAAAATAGATCTGTGTATTATGTTAAATTTAACTTGCTTCAAACTGACAATTTCTGCCTGATAAATATCATAGTGGTTGAAAATACTTTAAGCTTTGGTAGTCATTACGTGTTATCCGTCTTCTAAAGAGAAGCGATAAATTATTATAATATGCAACAAATGGTGTATAATTTGTCTCCGTATTTCTTGTCGTGCGCGCCTGTGCGACAAAGTTGTGTCTTAATAAATTTCGCAAATAATCATCTGTTGAATTCATGTATTATAAGAACACTTTCAATAAGACGCGAAGATGCATGACTAGCGTCTATAGTCAATGGCTCAATGTGCACACTTGTACTTACGCAGCTGCGATACATTCCATTTAGAAGTCTCAAATTGACATTGGTTGAGTTATATTCATTTCAGAGTGTTCGTATGTAACACCCTTGATTCAATGAACTTCAGGCTGACGCCTTTTGTTGTCTCGTGTAGTCTGTTGAAAGGGACGTTTCCTTTGGAAACGAAACTGTTAAGTTGACATTCGGCGAATGAACGATAATCTTCTATTTTGCACATGCCATACACACATACACTATTTGTATTGGTCAAAGGTTGCACGACAGTTTAGCGTTTTCGTGCAATATTTTGAGACTGCTATGCGGAATACTCATTCAGACATTCGTCCGCCAGGCTCGTTAAAAAAGGCATAACGTGTTGTTAATGGTTTTGCACAAATTATTAATACCTGTACATATATCTACAGTTAAGGGTTACAGACATTTCACTGATTGCAAATAAGACTTTCTGTTAATTTGATTCTTCATTCAATTTTGGCAAAAATCTAACTCAACCATTAGTCTTGATCATGAAGTTTTCTTAGTTGTGTGCGAAACACAAAGAGACACAGCCTAGTAAAATCCATAGTACATGTTCAGTCATTTGCGAAATATGAACATCAGAATTCATGTACTTGTTTTTATCGTACATTTAGTTACTATGCCTGACTAATAAACACAAACTTCCGATAGAATATCTCTTTTTATTATAATTAACATGTACAATATACATGTACGTTTGTGAAATATGGGGCCCTTTATAAAGTCCATAGAGTGAATTAATTGTATTCATCGCAGTGATGACCATTTAACTACATAATAATTAGGTCTTAGTTTAGCTTTGGTGGTAGAAGTGGTGCATTTGGGGGGTTTTTTTTTGGGGGGGGGGGCAGGAGGAGAGACAGATAGAGTGGTTTCTTTTGAACTTTGAAGTCGGGATATTTACCAATTTCTCTATAGACATCTTACCACGTAGCCTTTGTTGAGCATGCACGAAAGGGCGGGTCAACCGTGCTTAATTTATAGGAGGGTTTTCACTTTGGCTAAGCCGACGGGTGAGTATTATACACAGTGAATAATACCGGGTTATTCAAACTCCATGGACGCTACTTGCTCGGGGCAATGTATTTGTGTGTGATCGATGTATGGTGCCAAAGGTTGTGATATATGGTCTGTCAGATATTGTTCATTTTATTTTTTCAACATGGCAGGTGTGATTCATCATGGACATTCGTTTCAACAATCTCCATTGTCTTGGACAAGGGGTTGCCTGACATTGGTGGGATGAACGATCACAACTCCGCATGGGTTTTCGTATTGCTCCCCCCCCCCCCGTTTTTTTCTTCACTTACAAAAATCAATGCGATGTTGACTAGTTCTGCAAGCATCAGCATATGTGTCTTGGACGCGGATATTTCCGCGGTAATGGTCAACTTTTTGTTGATGGGGGATCTCGGTTTTTTTCTGGATGGCAATGAAAAGTCCAGTTTGTCTTTTGACAAACAATAGAGGTAAGTAATATCACAACTGAAATCACTTTTATTTTCGTCATGTGGCTATAGCTGATCGATACACATGATATAATCCCATGTCCCTATATAAACAATTTCGTTTCAGTGGGTTATTTTTTATCAACAGAGAGTTCTTTTCCAACAGATTCAAAATCTAAATCAGATGATCTGTAAGCTTTACACTCCGTGACTTTGGCAAAACTGTTTCGCACACTTTCAGCACTAAAAACAACAGGAATCGGCTAAAATGGTGTATTTTCGTACAAACTCAAAACGTTCATGCCCTACTAGTGTGGGCCTACAGACAAAATTATAATTACTTAATTGACGATAATTGACAATGAACATATCATTCATTTTTATAGTATTTTATTTTAAATTGTGTACATGAAACTCCATGTATTTGCGTACAAAGTGCAGCCAGTATTATTTGGGTTATGTATCTCTATATAGTGCTCAGTATATACGATGAAAGCACAACAGAACATAAATGATTTTTAAATACATTCATCTGACTACGGTTCTCCTTGCATATTGCTTGATGTCGCTCATTAGAAAGCTGTGAACTTTCTATTCACACAAAATTAGTGGAGATTCCTTGGCAACTGAAATACATGAAAATGAAATACATTAGTGTTAAACTGCCAATACCCTGTACACCGTGTGCATTTCACTGCGTAATTACTTTTAAATGACTCTCCAATGTGTATAAGCAGCCATTACTTATTTAATTTAGCGTTTCGTCATTGGTGCAAGGGCCCTACTTTTAGTTCACGCGTATACAGTACCACTGACACTACAAGATGCAGGGGTACAGAATAATTGACATACACGCCGAGTGCATGCGGTCGACATAGCAACAAAATAAAGCAAGGTGTTTACCCCCATACCCTTCGCGAAAAAAATTTAAAAAAAAAAAAAAAAAAACAGACAGACCAAACAAAACATTACTATAAGGCGAAATGTCATCAGTTTTGAAAATAAAACGTACAGATATGGCCCTAAGTATTGGTCTTTGGTTAGATTGACGTGTATGTAACAAATCTGATTTCCACCATAGTCACCTTTCATGTTTGTGGTTTATAGGCCTACATGTAGTTGACCATGCAGCCAACTACTGAAGCCTTCTAGCTAGATTTTTTTCAGGAATGGTTCCCCATAAAAAAGGCATCCATACTAAATCGATTATTTACAGAATACTAGAGAAATATTGGTGAATGTCAAACTTGATTGTGCATTTACTGTTGCCGGATGATGCTTGTACACTGTTCCCCCCTATCCCGCGCAGTATGGGCCTGTATACCTGCGCATGTTAAACCATAACTAATCACGTAAAAGAATAAGCTTCTTTTCAAAACGACGTCAAGGCATACCTCATGCACGAACGCGCCAGACTATCAGTTCGTCCACGTGGTCAATGGCTTTTCGTTTAAAAATGCATCCATGTTTCGCTCAAAATGACAATGTTGTTTAGCGTTTATGGGGAACAACCGTTATATCACATCTTAGTTTGCCCATCTGTGTGCATTCGGTCTTGTTTTTCATGATTCCACATGTACATGCAAGTTGATTTCAAACAACTAACAAACAGCGAGATATTACGGTATCTCCTAGTCCTCTAAACTAAAACGTATGCGGCGTTGGATATTTGTTGTGTAAAGTTTGTGTTTTGTGAAAGCACTACTCATTTCAAAGAATTGGAAGAATCATGACAACATGATGACAGCAAAATTGACCTGAACGATCTAAGTTACGTGTGTACATACTAAAATTGGTATACGAATGAGTCTGTTGCTTGACTACAAAATTAGCGAGTATTAAGTACCAAGACGCTTTACGCGAAGTCGAAGCGTTGCATGTTCCATTCGCAGAGATGGACAAAGGGGCTCGCGTGGTATTTTTACGGTATGTTTACTGTGAAGATGTTTGACTAGCACCACACCCAATCATCTTGACGGGAATACAAACCATTTTCAAACGCGAAACAATTTACAAAATAAACGTCCATGTGAAATTGTATGCCTTATTCTCGTATTGAAACCAAACTGGCGTACCAAGTAAAATAAACATTGCCGCTGTACAATATTTTTGGGGGAATTTTCCATCAGATGATTTGGTATACTTATTGCATAAAGTAATATAAATTCCGAGAATATGTCATTCGGGGTTTATTTTTGGTATAGGCTAACAAAGACAAAAAGCCACTTAAAATATGTGAATTATTGACCGATATTTTGACTAAAATGTTTACGCAGTTAAGAACGGGTATTATGGTGCGATTCAAATGCAAAATCAAAATGTGTAGTCTTCAGTAAGCCTATATGCTGAAAACAATCTCGTGACACCCCATGAAATTCGGGTCATTTGTTTTGTATAATAAATCATCTCGAGAATTTGTATAATGTAATTTCTGAAGTACTTTCTTTGTGTTTTGGGGGCGATGAGAAGGAGGGTTTCTATAATAATGAAAAGGAAACAAAGACAGCAACAACTAGCACGGAAGGAACTCATTCCAGATACTTTATAAGTCTTTATGAGCACTGATAGTAGACTGCATCATCAGCAAGTTAACCCTTGCATCAATGATGTCATGAACCTATTTTGTTCCCGTGACATTCGTCAACCACAAGGCCTAAAAAATATGCAATTAAAGGAAAAGGAGTATTCTGGAAACATTATACGCTTAAACTGCGAAGGAGAGTTTCGGTAAGGAGTTCCACACTGAGATAAAGTAGGAAAGAAAACCAGAACACAAAAAGGTACTGTCTCGTAGTGATGTTTTCATCGGTGTTGGAAGGTACATTTTCAAAAAAAAAATCTAAAACTTTAATACCGGGAGGAAATGTTGGGACACTAATTGGGGAAAGTGATATCGAGAAGACTGAATTAGGTCAGAAGTCAGTGTGAATGTTTGCACGTAAAGTAACAGTCAACTGTCAAATTTTGGGATGAGCTGTGTATCTGTGAGAAGCTCTTGAGACCGACTCTCAAGGAATTTTGCCAAAATTTGCAAATAAAAGCAATACTAAGCAGCTCCATGTGGGTCCTAGCTCTATGATAAACCGGTACCGTAGAATCGAAGTAAACGGGGTAAAATCCCCCCTCCCCACGTCTGGCAAAACATTATCATATCACATTCAGGGCGACACGTCAATACATTAATGATCCTTATCTTGACTGCACCTCCTGTATATTATGTATACATTGTATATCGTCTGGAAGTAACAACTGATTGGAATGATTTTGGGGAAGCAGGACTGTAAAGAAAAGCCAAGTGAAGTCGCGTAATGATAGAGACAGCGAATGAAGCCAATCGGATCATAGAAACTTATGGTATCCAATGGGTATTGTTATTTCAATAGACCCTTTACACGGTGCGTCCGCACTGAGGGCAGTTCTTGTTTCTTAAATTCAGTGACAATGGAAGTAAAAACTCTACTCATGCATATCACAGAGGACCAAGGACCTGTCCTCAGATGGAAAGGGTCTATGGCACCTAGAACAGTATGAGGAAATATAGAACAGGCCTATATGAGGAAATATGCACCGTGACTCCTTGAGCACCAATATTGGTGGAGACGTGCGCTTTATAAATACGCATTATATTATTATTATTATTATTATTATTAAACTACTATACGTGTTAAAACTTGTCTGGAATTCGCGTAGGATAAATGTATACGTATATACGAATGTAAAGACTTGAATGGAATCCTAACATTTATGTTATCTAATGGCGCATTATCCGATGGGCTTCTTCAGAGAGAACGTAAAATACATGTTCAAAAGTGTCAAGATCACAATGGAAGGATTTGCTATATAAACTGGAAATGAAAGATGTGGAAATGAAAGATGAACTCACACGCGTTTTTGAGTCGTTTGCGGTGCCCCGGCAGCAGCACTTCGAGCTCGTGTAGCACGTCTGCCGTTAACTCCATGACGGAGACCTGGTGAAGGTTGGTGTAGTTGCTCCGGATAAAGTTGCCGAAGTAGTGGTCGATGCCGTTGTCTCGGAGCCATTGGAATACCTCAAACTCCTCCGAGGGTTGGTAGTGGGTGGCTGATGTGAAACAAGAGAGAACAGTAGACTCGTAAAGATAAGACAACAGTGTACGTACATTACGAGGGGTATTGTGTGGCACGTAAAGCATCGTCCATTTAAAGCATGATATGAGACCCAGACTCATTGAACGTGTATGCACAATCGAAGTGATGGAGTTGTTGCTGAATAGGTCATAAAAAACTATTCCATTGCACTTATTTGGGGATAGCAAAAATTGGTCGCCGACTCCCTGTGTTGTAAGTTGCTTTTTGACTTTACTTGCAGGGTTGGGAATAAAAAATGATTATAACAATGCACACCTTCCCATTGTTATGTTTACACTTTCTCCATTACATTTTGTGTCCCATGTCCATATTCGCCGAGTATAGGACGAATGATAACAGCGCCACCAAGTTGCAGTATATAGTAGGCCTATCTTCATGTCAAAATACCCCCAAATTGCCCCTTCTGTAATCCCACTATTCCCCCTCCCCTAAAACCATTGCCGATCTAACAAGAACATTCATATACGCACTGGTTTCCCATTTGCTCTAAGTGATTTCAAAATTGATTGTTTTTGTTTTAAACGAGATGATGGAGGTCTGCGAATCCCTTGTCTCGAACAGAGCACCACAGAAGCTATTTCTTTGTCTTTCCCATAACTATATGTGCAATTACAATTGATGGCATAAGGTACAGACGTCACTACCTTTTAGAGTTTGGCCAACTATACATGTATAACTAGTTAAAGAGCGAACTTCGACGAGGAACTATAGCTTAGAGGATCGTGTATCTGACTATTGATCCAGCGATCTTGGTACGAATCCCCATGGGTACTTTTTTCCACATTTTATTCTGATTTTTTTCTGTGTGTGTTCTAAACACATGTCTTTTGCATCCACTTAGAGAATTTAAGTTAGGTCCATTGCAATGTTCAAACTTGCGGCCTTTGAGACTTTCGAGATTTTTTTTTTAGCCAAGGGCGAGGGGATTCTCTTCATCAAGGTTATTATATTATGCCCGTGTTTACAAAGCTGTTATGTGCTTTTCTTTATGTCTCGAAAATGCCGAAGAATATCACTTCTGTTCACCACAAAATGATACCAAGAGATGACTGTTTAATGTTTTAGTCAAGGACAACAATAGGCCTATAGACAGACTTAGTGAAAAAAAAGTATCCGATGCTGGCAAATTGTCATGCAATATGTGTTTAATTTTGGAAAATTGTTCATTGTTTTGCTCAGTTTTCACAAGTTTTCGTGACTTGTCCTTTACATATAAAGATCTTTGGGGGCTACACTTTTTCTGTTTGGAAGAGGGTGTACTTCTCCTTTAAGAACTCCCATCAGAACCGTCCCTAGATTTGTTTTTGAATATTCAATCAAAAAATCAAGTCTGTGCAATGGAACCAACGTATTGCGCATAATGTATCCGAATTACCCACGAACTACACGTTACGTATAGTCACGCACACTGACCCAGTGTAAATATAAAGCGTGACATTATGTAGGCCTATGGCGACCCTTCCGAGCACTGATTACTATGCAGACATTAGGCAAAAACAATTCAACCGGTTTATACAGTTTACATATACATTGAGCAGAGGAAAGGAACGAGGAAATGTGGCACAAAAAGGAAGGAAAGGGTGAAGTAACCAAATACTCAACACACATGTGGGGACAATATGGAAACACTACTTCTCTACCGGCTGATACAGGCAGAAATAACACTTGCAATAATTTGGAGTACATTTGGAACATAATGCGTATCAGGCTCAGCAAATTCATGGATTCGATACGAAATTCGTTCACCCGACTCTGTATTCCGCAGCCATCTTTGAAGTTTTGGCTTATTGATCAATTTAGCAATTAACCAAATGTTCAACTAACAAACCAACCAAGCAACCAAGCAACTAACAAACCGACCAACCGATCTTCTCCACATGGCCTGCAGTTGATAATGTAGTAAGCACATGCCTACAAAGACATTTTTTCTTTATTTGTGGTATTTTTGCAAACCACCACTAGACATGTTTACAACTTCATTCTGAAACCAAAAAAAAACATGTACAATGTGCGGTGCGAACATCTTCTGCATAGGCCTATGTGTAAATAATACCAAATAAAGTCAGCGGAGTGGGACCATAATCACGAGGGGTTTTTTTTTGGCGGCTCAAAAACAACGGGTGATTGGGTAAGCAAGATTGGTTGTAGTTTTATTATTATTCTTTCTTTCGTTGGATTGTTTTTGCCTGGCCAGGACAGGAAGAGATTGCCCGCAGCTGTACGGCACGCGCTTGTCGTCAGCCGTGACTCCAAGCCCGCTACGCTGATGCCATGCCGCAACCAACAACGTATGAACGCACATTGGATGAGTCATACTATGGGTGCTGTATTGCCCTTACTGACTGGCTCCCCAACAACTCACTGTTTGTGCTATTGTGAGGAGGCCAGCTGAGCTCATCACTAACATAACGCCGCGCGTCCACCATCAAACCCCGAAGAACATTTCACCCGTGTAGTCCACGATGATCATGGCTAAATTCACGGACCGTCGTCGTTTAGACCCCGCCCCGTTCTTCTTTTTGGCCCATTCCTTAGCATCGCGCCTCCACTGTCCGTGTGCGCGTCCGCCAATAATTTTTATCCCGTCGCATCCTCTACCCGCAGTCCTCTTCCCTCGGATCGCATCAGCCAGACAGGGAATTACAAAGCGGTAAACGGTGAACTTTTCAACTCGTCCTGGGGAGGAGATGATGACGCGGCAAGTCTCTTCTCATTGGCCATGACTCGGGTCAATTCTCAACTGGCGAAAGCACATGGCATCCCTGTCCTCACTGTCTAGCCTTACGTGCCAATATACACTCATTAATTCAACCCAACTGTGTATAGCAGCCACTGTAAGCGCGTTTTCTCTCTGCAAGTTCACAGAAAATCGACCCAAAGAACAAACTGTCTGTTGTTTTTTCCCAACTTATCCGATCTGGGGACTTTCCAACAACATGAATATAAATCTTTTCAGAGCGTAAATATCAGGGTACAAACTCAAAGTAAACAAGAATTGATGGCGAAAATGCCACTGAATTTACTTCTGAATTAAATCGGTACTGTTTAGCCATTTTCCCCACGAAACTTGTTTCAGAGAATCCAGATATGGGAAAGAAAGATAGAAAAAAAAAGATACGAAAAGAAAAGAAAGGAACTAACAAAGCCTTGAAGTAATTATTTCCAAGAATTCCAGAGCCATCATTTACCACTCCAGTACACGTCAGAATAAATTAATCCTGATAATGTCCTACGTGCAATATCTGGTCACTGACCGGTCACGACTCGTGGAAAAAAAACACATCGCATTTGAAGGCAAGTGGTCCCGATTACAAGTAGATTTTCATTAAATTATTGTTGTGAATTTTAAACTATTTCTTACTTTTTTTCTTTCGATATAACCTTTGAAAAATCTACTTTATTCTGCGAAAATCCCCGTTCTCATATTTAAGGCCTTTCTGAGCGAAAGAAAGGGGGAATGGTCGTGAGCCGTACAGCGCTCGCCGCTCACTGCCGGCTGAATGCAGTGGCGCGCTGCCTCGTATTTTTCAAGCCGTGCGCGTGCCCGCCTAATGCTTGATCGTTTTGGGAAAAATGCGCACGGTGCCTCGATTTTCGTGAAATAAAATGACATCGATTGCTTGACAAAACTTCAACCAAATGAAATAAATGTTGGCCGAGAATTTCACAAGGATCCTTCTTTGTATGCCACCAAGGTGTGGGTACCTTTTGGTTGACTTTTTACTCCCGAAAAAAATACGTTTTCGAAGGCAGAAAATCCAAAGCGACCTCAAAAAACTGGCGGTGAATATTGTGCGTAGTACAAGCAGTGACAAGCATTGTAGACCCCAAACAAGTTGCCCCTCCTTCGACAGAAAGAGACCGGCCCAGACCGCCAAGTCCTGCTGACAAAATTGACATGGATGGTTGTCTCCATTCAAGCTATATTACCAATTAAATTCGTTTTCATTTTAAAAAATTCGTTGGATAAACATTCAGAGTTACGTCTGCTATCCTTAGACTTGGCCATCAACTTCTGAGTTGGGAGGCGTTGACGCGAACTGGCCGAAACTCGGCGCGCAGCGTCCAAACTTCGATAAACTTTCGAGCTTCACAGAGAACACTTACCACACGACTCCCTTGCCCAAATTATGACACTGTGGCACATAACATCAAACTTTTACACCCTCTTTTGCCAGAAAACCCCTTGTTCTGGGTTGTGGTTTCGGAGCGAATGTTGGATGGCAACGCCAGCCCATAAAGAACGCTCTGTTCGCTCGATAGTAGCCGAGTCAGCTTGGGGTCAACGGTTCAACATTACACATTAGTTTATACGTCTGTGAAGCGCATGCATGGGACAAAATTCGATGTATTTCCCTATTCCGCAGCCAGAAAATTCACCTACCCTCAACACATGACAAAGCTCACAGTGTATATGCCTACATTTTTGATTCCGTAATAAATGTACAAGGAAGGAATTTGTAAATTTTTATCCATCAACTGGCAACATGCATCTCCCTTTTTCATTTTTTCAATATGGCTGCCATTAAATTTCATGCTGACAAGCGCGTAAAAAAGGTAGACGTTGCAGATAGAGATTTGAGACGCGTGCCGGAGAAATTTATACTCTGAAAAATAGACCAGCTTCAAAGCAAAATAGTGAATCACATCAGTGTGTTTAGGCTGGGGTCAATTGGCGAAATTTTTCCCCCAAAAAAGGGAAATGGCGCGCGTAAATTTGTGAGGGATGCAGACATGTGCTGACCAAGCGAGCACCATGGCTTACCCGGAGAAAAACGAACATGCGTGTGAGATGGGGTGGACATTTTCTGACTAACCTGCCTGGAGAATTGTCCCTCGATGCTCCTTGTCTGTGATGTTCATCGCGTCTAGATCGTCTTTATCCAGTGTACAGAAATCACTCTCCACATCATATCCTTTAATTTGGAATATATCAGCATATTGGTGTAACCCGAGGGGTCCTAGAAATTTGTTAATACCGATGTCGTTCATGGTTACCACACGGTGCCGGCTGAAAATGAAATGATGGCTTGTTGTGTTTTTTTTCCGCGATTGATGCCGACTCTGGAGTGAATCTTTGGCCGTCAGCTGATGTTTACTACAATTTTTTGGCAGATTGAATGGAGGTGGTATTGTCGCTCCACCCCTTGGTATGTCTTCTTTGCGACCCCATTGGCCGGGGGACTGTATCAGGTCCTTTTAACCGGCAACCGTCCCCATGACGTAATGCCCAGGTCTGCATGTGAACGCGGCTTGCCCCGACACGTCCATGTTTGATATTATGGTAAACAAATGATAAACTATTTATATATGCACGCACTTTAACCAATCACGGCCCGCAGACGGAGCACGTGATGGCCATTTGACCCCGTCTACGGTGGGCTTGTGAATGAAAGCACCAGCCACGTAGTACATACATGTTCGCTCCGATCCGCGATATGCTGCGTGTATTTGTGCACATGCCATACGCAATAGGCCTACATGTGTAAATGGTCCTCTCTGAAAACATGGCGCAAAGCAACTTGGCCGTTCCTCAGGCTCAGTGCATTAACGGAGCGGAATCTACGCAACGTGTGGCTCTGATTACCGGTATAACCGGTCAGGTTGGTAGCTAATCTGCATGGCTACTGTCATGCCAAAACACGAAGTGTAAAGATGTGTTGTTCTAGAGTAAAATTGTGTTAAAACCTATGCTAAAACTACACACCTTTCCCCCTCTGTCTCGACAGGTTGAACGTTACATTGCAAGTGCAGGCTTTGGTTAATCATTATGGGTTATAATAACGTCAGCGATGGAGATCTAGTATTATTTAGGTGTTCCCTTGGTCAATCTAGACCTACTCTTACCATGTTAAATACTACTCAGTTGTTAGCTAAGTAATAATCAGGCAAGGCACACGATGCAACACTTGTGTACAGTACCGTTGCCTATTCCGTATTCGTGTTGTTCTGTTGTCAAGTTCAGGTCGAGGGGTCATAAGGTGTTGGGCAGTTGTAAACAGTGTACATTGACCTAGCTAGCTTGATGCATGCAGTCACCGGGAATACGTGTACATGTACACTGTACATGTTCAAACTTGACGTTACGTGCATGAACAGGCAAATCTGCAAGCTCAAAATTCATGCACTATCATTATCAATGCAATGCTAGGGGATATATAGCGGTTATTATCAATCAGTCATGACATGTCAGTCATTGTGAGAATGATTAATATTCATGCAAAACAAGAGTCATAATTTTCTCAATGTCAGATTGTATAATTCTCAGTGAATTATATAAGATTTGAGGCTTTGCATGGTGGGGTATCGGTATCGTTTCGGGTTTTGCGGTAACACCATGTGGTAATAACTACTGCTTAGAAGATATTAGTTCTGAGAAGAACTTGTCCTGCTTATTATCAACTTGCTAAGTAGTTTTTTTTGTTCTGTTTAGAACAGTCCTGCTGTAAGTTCTAAAAGAACTTGTCTTTGGTCTCAACGTTTCGACTAGCCTGCTCTAGTCATCGTCAGGAGACTGAAGATAGTTGGAGATGCTACTCCTTAAGTAGGGTTTGTTAGGATTAGGAGTGCTTGCTGGGCATGCCCTGCTCGCTCGGGTGTGTCAGTTGGTTGTGAGCCATGGGCATTGTGTTGAGGGATGCCCGCTGAGCGTCCTGCTCGCTCGACTGTGTCAGTTGGCTGTGAGCCTTGGGTATTGTGTTGAGGGATGCCCGCTGAGCGTCCTGCTCGCTCAGGTGTGTCAGTTGGCTGTGAGCCACGGGTGTTGCAACTTGGAATAACTGAATGCCATATGTGGCTTATGAAGTAGCCGATATCTTGTGGGACAGTGTCATGTTTGTGGATCTCAATAGCTTCTCTGATACGACGGGTGTACCAGTGTTTCTCTGGGGCTATGATTTCCGCTTGTTCCCAATCAACAACATGATCCAGATCAGCAGAGTGTTTGACAATTGCCGATTTGTCAAGTTCCGATTTGTCAATTGCCGATTTGTCAAGAATTTAAAACTAATTCTCAGTGAATTAGTTTTAAGTATTGTGACGTCGACATCATATTTTAGTATCAACTCTGTACATAAATCAGGTACACTGTAGTGTCGTTTTCCTAGTTCTGGATTTTTCCTAGTTCCGGATTGCTTCAAATAAAAACCTACCTCTTTTGAATTGGTCTCCAATACTATTTTTTCTGACGAAGTGCATTTTGAAAAGGAAAATGTAAGCTTCTTGAAACACAAAGATCTTTTCGATAAGTCTAGAAAAGGATTTTTGGCCAGATTTGCGACTTGCACTTTGACATGTTTTATCGTTTGTAGAAAATCACGGGAGCTGCGAATCGACGATAGATTTTCTCCTGTTTTTCTCCTCGGTACATCACTCGGACATGTGATTTCTAATATTTTGTTCGTACTCTACAGTCGCATAAACTCTTGTATCGAATGTTTGTTGAATCAAAATACATTGTAGAGTCTCTAATATTTGAAAATTCGCCAACGAATGACCATATGTTTTTGCCTAGTGTGCACATAGGACCCAACTACACGCGCATTAATCAATTTTAACTGACATAATCTGTGATGGGTCAAATGTTTTTGGTCCGTACGTGTTCGTGTCGTCGCGCTGCAGACAAAAGTTTCAAAATCATTAACCGTAATTCTCTTTTTATAATTTGCTGGAATTCTCTTGAATGAACTGTTTTAAAAAAAAATTAAATTATACTTTATCAGAAAATGTGCTTTATTCAGGGTGGTTCTGGCAGAAAAATTGATTTTCTCGCGTTATTTTATATTTCACGCGAAGCAGTTTTTGATCGATTTGGAACTAAATCCGATCCGGAACTAGGAAAAGTGGCATCCGTACTTTTGACGTCGCTTAGTCAAAATTAAAAGAGCTTAAAGTTGGAAAATTATTTTGTAGTATCTCCATCACTCAAGGTAAACTTTTTAACCAATGTCACTTGAATATTGAGCCGAAAGCAGCCTGAATGACGTTTGCTATCCGGAACTAGGAAAACGACTCAATAATTAGGCCATGTTTAAAAGCAAGTGATGTGTTGTGCTACAAATCATAACCCAAGGTTCAAAAGGATTGTCTCCAGGGTTTTAGTCAAAACTAAACTGAGACTGGAGACATCCATTCGCAAAATCACTGGGCCTGAGATGTTCGCATATTTGACTCACCCCAGTCATTTAAAAAAAATGATAATTGGAGCCTTGGAGATAGTCAAAATCAGCCAAGATTAAGGCCCTTTAAGTATTTTTGTTCATCATGTACTTACCCAATAGGAACCAATGGTTTTTTTATTGTAATCAATTTTCCGTACAGTGCATTCAGAGTACAGGCCATTTCATGCAGTTTTTGAGACTGGCACATGTACACCCACATTGAGTTGTCTGTTTTTACTTTGCAAATGAAATAAAATAACGACCACTGAAATAACCCAGAAGCTTTTGTATTTTGTCTACCTCTTCTGATGAAGTTCTGAGCAGCTATTGTCTTGATTGTACGATGTTTGTATTCCTTAGGAAGGAGTAAATTGTTAAAGAAATTGAACATAAATTTCCTTTTTTTCCCCCCTTTCTCTGTCGTAGGTCTAGATAAAATTTACTGATCTGCTCCAGTTCTTTCAGAATCTAGCTGCTAGAAAAGATATCAAGACAAGTTGACGTTGCATATTTGAAGGAATTTGTAATTTGATAAACACGCACAACTTATTGTTGAACCATGTTAAAAACCAACACTGCCTTGCCACATAATAGAGGGTGGGTCCCTCAAACGTGCCCTTTTGTGTACATAAAGGGCTTAAGGTCTGGTATGTAGGCACACTTGAACAGAGGATTTCCTGTGCAAATGTACCTGTGCATGTCCATTTACAATGTCCAGTTATAATCTCATGTTTGGCGTAGTCATTACACACCCAAGTCAAGAGTATACATTGTCACAATGGCTATCTTATACAAAATACCACTGGTTCATTTCCCCTTATAACAGGGTTGCACAAGGGCGTCAATCATTTTTCAAAAGTGGGGGGGGGGGGGACTTTTGTTGAACGGAACTAATGCGAGCGCGAAGCCCTTACGGCTTGGGGTTTGTGCCCACTTAAAGGCCTTGAAGAATTTTGGATTGTAGACGCTCTGTGGTGCGATCTGAGGCAATTTCTGACCACTTTAACGCATTTTTTTAAGCAAAAGATCAAACTTTTAACATCATTTTTAAGTTTGGAGTAATTGAATCAGCTATTCTGAGAGCTCTATAAAATAATATGTGGGCTACATTTTTTTTGGAGAGGGGGCGAAAAAAGTGTGTGGGGGGGGACAAACGATATGATATTTCCCCCCCCCCCCCCCCCCCACTTTAAAAAGTGGGGGGACTTGTTCTGTGGCAATTTCTGACCACTTTAACGCATTTTTTTAAGCAAAAAATCACACTTTTAACATCATTTTTAAGTTAGGAGTAATTGAATCAGCTATTCCGAGTTGTAAAATATGTGGGCTACATTTTTTGGAGGGGGACGAAAAAAGTGGGGGGGGGGGGGAACAAACGATATGATATCTCGATATGAAAGAATTATCTCACAATGCTGTACTGATATTTTCTGCAGCAGCTCCAGATCATCACTGCCCCAATTGCCCATCTATACTCCTGGGTGGAGAGTAGTTGTTGTAGTCAAGTCCCTTCCCAAGAACACAAACATCAAAAGAACGCTCAATTTCCTTGCGTATGTTTATGGTGCCATTGTGAAGGCGATCAGACACAAGATTCTGATCAAGTGAAGTGATCATTTACGAAGCTAACAACAGGAGCTTTAACTCTCCAGGAATGGTTTAATCATCACCCAATGGGGGAGGGGTTGAGATTTATTTTAAAGTGATGATGGTCCTAGAATTTGTTCTTATAAATTAATTTTAAAATGAATGGAGCACCTTGGTCATTCATGAAAGAAAAAAAAATGTTTTTAAGTTTCATTGGGCTATTTTTGAATGTGAGATTATTTGTATTGTCTTATTCTTCCTTAATTAACCAAACCTAGCTGACTAAAACATCAATCAAAACAGTGCAAACTTCTATTTTATGGTGTGGATCTTAGATGTGACCCAAAGTCTTTTTCTATTAAAACTGTTAGATTTTGTTGGACTCTGTTGGGTTCTGTAGAATTCTGCTGAATAAAACTTAAATTCCCTAAACAGCCATTTTCTTTTGAATTGTGTGCATCAGAGCAGTGTACTAAAAACCATAATTGCAGCAGGGCCACCATGAGGCTCTTGGATATACATATCTTTGCTTGCCTCCTTTATTGCACTTTACCCTTCTTATTGCTCAACAATCATCTCATATAATTTTTAAATTAAGCAAGACTGAAAATAAACTAGGTGAAGGAGTAAATGACAAGGCCAGTCTCTAGTCTGACCCATCAATTAAAACCGCGTCTAATGACACCCCTTGACATTTTACCAATGCTTTTGAGTTGTCAAACCCTGCCGACTTGTATGCAGCAGGACTACTCTTTCCCCACAAGGCCTCCCAAGTTTGGTTGTACTTGAAAGTTGTCACGCAACCCAAATGATGATTACTTTTGGCACATTGGGCCAGCTGTGTTTTTCCCAATGCG